ACAACTGTTGGGTTTTGAGCATGACAACATCCTATGTGATCATGCACCCCTAATTGCTTTGGATCTAAGTTTTTCTTTAGCTATACATACAAATAGAACTTCCAAAGCAATAACCCTAATGCTAGCATACCATTTCGAAATTCAATATGAAAATAGGGTTAGAATGTTACCTTGCTTGTTATCTCGCAATAACAAGGATTCTATGAATGATCTTGACTCTTGAAAGCTTTAGTGCCCTAAGTGTTGCACCTCTAATGGAGTCATAAACACAAAAAGCAAAAGATGAGTTAGAGAGAGGGAAAAATTCGGTTAGGGTTTCTTCTTGGAAGCAGTGGCCGAAATAGGAGGCCAGTGGGTCCTTAAATAGTTGTGGTTGTTAGGGTTTTTAGGTGGAAACCCTAATTCCTTGCTTAGGGTCCAAGCAACCCATGAACCCTCCTTCTAGAAAGCCTTGGGCGATTTCTATAGGGCCTCCTATAAATTTCATCCAACCCTTTCCAAGGGAGTCCATCAGCCCAATTTACAACTACTAATGATTTGCAAAATCAGTCCCCGTACTTTTAATCAGTTCAATTAATCCCAAAATTAATACCAAATAAATTTTTGATTAAGTACTAATTAAATAATATGATTTATAAATAATATATTCTTCTTATAATATATTAATAAATCATTAAATAACCACTCTCTCAAAAAGTCATCCTATAAAGTTGCTATGGTGAAGGCAACCCAGAAGGATCATGCGACTATCAAATCAAGTACATACCAATTATAGTTATGGGCTTAGACACCTAATCCAACACCTATGGCATCCCAGATAAAGACCATGGGGGATCCCATGGCAACTATATATATGTTGCCTATTACTCTGTGGTTGTATGTTGTATGGTATTTTGGGGAACTCAGTAAGCTTTGTGCTTACGGTTTTCAATTTATGTTTCAGATACTCCGGTTTTCAAATGGAAGAGCTCTGGACGATTGCAGAGCACACACCGCATGTTTCTGCATTCTGTGAATTACACTGGTTTAATGATGTTTTTCTACATATTTGTTACTCTGGTTAGAAACAATATGTATTAACGATTTATTAATCTAAAAACAAATTTTTTTTATGTCATGATTTTCAGGATGTTACATTGTGAAACCAAATTATTAAACTACTTTCATTGTACTTCATGATGTGCGTTGTAGTAGTGACTTTGCCTTACGGGAGGCTCTGCTCCCAATTTGTGATCCTTGACTGACATGCTTGGGTTTGAATGAAATCACATAAACAACACAAGAGACACTTTATGTTAAATGCTTATAATATTTTTTTCACAAATATACCAAACATATTGATGTTGATTGTTGTTGGAAAAAAATGGTGAATTGAAACTAATCACCAAAGTTGAGTGGTTAAATGGTGTATAATCGAAAAATGATGTTTAATTTTCGGTTACAATTCGTAATTAAGAATAATATTAAATATAATGTTGAGTGGTTAAGTGGTGTATAATCGAAAAATGATGTTTAATTTTCGGTTACAATTCGTAATTAAGAATAATATTAAATATAATGTCAGTTATGTGTGGTGTTTAATGCGACTTAATTATCTTATCGATTATGATTTGTTGTATAAATATAACATCTCTACAACCCATTTTAGAAATACTAAAAAAATGCTAAAGAAACCTCTCATCTTCTATTTATTTCTTGCGGTTTTTTTTTTTTCTATTTCAAGGTAAAATCCAGGCCTAACATAAGTTCGGGTGGTCTCGTAGAACCACTTTAAGTTGATGTATCTTAGGAAACAAAAACGTAGTAACAGACAAATTTGTTTTTAAGACACTATGTTAAACACATACCTAAATGTTTGTAGTTTCTTGTTTATTTTCATACTTTACCACAATATAATTCATATAATATTAAAAAAAATCAACCAATATCGGGTGCTTTTTAATGACTATATAAAGTCAAAATAAGACTGCAGATCCATTAACGACAAGCTTGAACTGAGACATCGTTATGAGGAATAAGACTAAAACTCATGCATGACTAAATTATTGCAAATGAAAATCCACCTAGTTGACGATCGGAGATATCTAGGTTCAATGAGACAACGTAGTTACATATAACATTTTCAATTTACAATTAGGGTCAACCCCACTCATTCTTAAAACAAACAATGATATAAATTAAGCTTAAAATTATGGATGATAATTTGAAATTCATCACAAATTAGCTTTAGTGATCATTATGAAGTCACCTATGTGAGAGAGAGGTGAGGTCACTTCAACCCTAAGAGCTCTTACAGAACCATGCAAGTATACAGGAGCATAACACACACACCAATAAGAACCTAACTAGGTTATGGAGAATCATGCGAGAGTTGATTATTTACACAAACAACAGAACAATTCAAGGACATCGAATCTATTGGTCATCTAGTAAAATAAATATGCATCTTAAAAGGAAAGTATAAAAGGTAACACTTACGTATCCTATGCATGATTCAACTGCTATCCAGGTAGCTTGAAAATGTTTGATCAATTTTCATTCATATGAGAGATTGTTGGAAAAAAGATGGTGAATTGAAACGAATCACAAAAGTTGAGGGGTTGCATGGTGTGTAATCAAAAATTGATGTTTAATTTTCGGTTAGAATTCGTAATCATTAACAATATTAAATATAATGTTGGTTATGAATTTTGTTTTAATGTCGACTTAATAGTATTGTTAGTTATGGTTTGCTGTATAAATACAACCTTTCTACAACCCATTTTCGAGACACCAAAAAAAATGCTAAAGAAATCTCTCATCTATTACTCATTTCTTGCATATTTTTGCTACTTCAAGGTAAAATTCAGATCTAATATAAGTTCGAGTGGTCTCGAAGGATCACTTCAAGCTGTTGTATCCTAGAAAACAAACCTCCGGTAGCGGACAAATTTGTTATAAGGGTACTGTGTTAAACACATGTCTCAACGTTTGTATTTTCTTGTTTATTTTCGTACATGACCGCTACGATTCTCACTTTGTATGTGATGAGATCGTACATACTACTAATTTAGCCTTAATCTTGGGTTGTTATTATATTGGGGAAACCAAAGCATTAAATATCGATTTTTTAGTGGCCTCAAGGGGATAGTCGTCTTGTTGCACTCGTAGGTGTGGTTAAGTGTCAATGATCCTCTTTAGACACAAATTACGATGTTTTCATGAATGCAAACCCATCTCAAGGAAGTTCAACTATCGAAGGCAACCCCAACCATGGCAGACCCATATAGAATGCGAGATGTTTATACAAAGGAAGTTATGTGTTGACCGGTGAGTGACCTAAAATCGGGAAAGGATTATTTTTGTTATAGATTAAAAGATTAGGGGGTCGGGTGTAATGATTCTAGAAATAATGCGTTGCAACTTGCAAGTCATAGTCAACTTATGGTGTGGTGCGAATTAAAAAGGGCATGAATCAAATAAAGTCATTTTAAATATATATGAACACTAGCCTGTTATGCAACTTTATCCAAACAAGGATAATGCAATAAACATATGAACACCAATTTGAGTAGTGTTTGTAAAAACCATATTTTATATATTCTTATCAAATAAATGAAGATAACCTTAATTTTTTTTAAAGTAAAATACAAATATACACTAAACTACTCTTAAATTATTCTACTTATGTTCACAGTAAAACTTAAATTCTCGATCTCAAGAAAGAAAAACAACACATTATAAATATATATATATATATATATATATATATATATATATATATATATATATATATATATATATATATATATATATATTATCGACCTGTTTTTTTAAGTTTTCATGGGATTAACTTACAAATATTCTCAAGTACTTAACATGTAATGGTGTTATTGGTTTTCAACCACATATTTTATACTAGACATATTCAAAAATATATTAAAAAAAAAACAAAACAAAATTTCTATAAAACTGATATGATCCACCAAAAATCAAATATAAAAGGTTACAACTTTGATGTTTTTAATCGAGGCTTTAGATATTCATGGGACAAGATACATCTTGTTCTATGATTGGTCAATATCTTTGTCTCCTCTCTTGAAAAACATGCTTTCTCTTTCTCCTATATATTAGATTAAATTATGTAAATTTAACGACTAATCATATTAATTATTAAAAACGCAAAGCTTTGACAATGAACGAACATTTACGTGTAACAATCTTTCTCAACTAAAAACACATCGACTTCTAATGATGGGATGTCAATCTTGGTGTATCGAGGACCATAACCAACTTGTATATCATTGTTCATTAGGGATCTCATTAAGTCCTAATTATGATTCTTAATTATAAACAAAGTGGATCTTTACATGAATAACTATAACGAACTATATGGGATCCCTATGAAATTAAGAAATCTTAACACCTAAAGTTTCTTTTAATCAGGAAAAATTTCGAGGCTTAAAATTCTACAACCTTCCTTATAAATTATGTTCAAATTAGAGGCGGCAAAATAAATTGATCTAATAGGATCCGTAACACATGAAAATAAGTTCATTACAAATCAATAATGTTAACTTTTTAAGGGAATATTCAAAATCTTTTATGAGCTTTAAAAAAATTACTCGAATTAAAGAAAACGTTTACTTTTTTTACAGATTTCAAAACCTTACCAATACAGGTATAAGGTATCTAACATTTCAACACAAATAAACCTATAATTTACATCTACCAGTTAAGCTACTGGCTGTTAACTAGTTTTGACAAAGATATTCTAATTACAAGTTAAATTGAAGTTGAATCGAGTAGGATAAAGTTGGGTAACCAACTAATATCTTTTTAAAACCTTATAAATAATTAATAAATTTAGTATGATAACGAGACTATAGAAAAAACCAGAAATCTTCGTCAACATAAATCAAACATTAGAATTAAATTACAATTCCCAAGCTTCCTTTTGACAAAATAATTGAAGGGAAGTCTTTTTTTTTTTTTTTCATTATTTTGAATTTTACAAAGTTCTAGCAACTTTTTCTTGGCTTGCTTTTTCTTCTGCTTCTTCTGGGTTGATCCTTGTTAGCAGCGATAGTAGTTGTAGTAGTAGTAGGAGACGATGGTTCTTTATCTTCTTTTTTGATCAACTCTTCATTTGACTTTGCTTTCTTTAACTCCATCTCTTCTTGCAAACTTTCTTCATCATCTTCTTCACTTTTATCCACTATTTTCCTAGGCCTCCCTCTCTTTCTTGGGGTAATAACTTGTCCCTGTTGTTGTTCCACTTGTACCTCTCCAATTACTGATGATGATTCTGCCATGGCTAACGATAGTTCTTTTGTTTTCATTGGCATCTTCTTCTTTCCCATCTCCCAAAAACCCTCAAATCATTGATGTCGCAAACACAAACCCACCAAAAAGATCCAAACTTTTTTGAAAATTTGATCTTATAGGACAATATTATGTAAAGAATCAATACCCACTGAGAAAAATCAAAAAAGAATCAAGAAGGTATGGAAACCATGCAACCTTTGAGTATTTAGCAAAAAGAAAAGACAAGTAGGATGAGGAGGAAATGAGGTCGAAAGGAAGTGTGATGATAAGTGGGGATAATGAGAAGACTACTGTCTACTACTCCTACTCATCCTTTGTCATGGCTTTGGTCTACCCTATTTTTTTATATGTGCTTTTTGTAAAATTCTAGAAATAGCCCTCAATGTTTATTTAAAATTCATTTTGACCCTCTAGCATGTATGTGTGCATGCCATGCCCCTTAAGTTAATAGCTATCATGCAAAATCGGTCTATTGATTTTGAATTTGTTGTGTGAAAAATAAAAATGAATTTTAGATTTTTTTATATATAAGTAAATTTTATTAATAATATGAAAAGTCAATAATTGTTATCAAAATAGTCAAAACAAAAGAAGAATAGTACAATAAATAATCTTATATAATTATATGAATAATGAGACTCTCCTAAAATGAACAATTGTAATTGATTGATTGCTACATTTTTTTTAATTGTGGAAGATGAGCATTCATATATGATCAATTAATTGGTGATTGCTAAGGCGGAAAGGTAAACAACTAAATGCAAATAGGTAGTGAGGCTATTGGATAAACATATTGGATAAACAAATTAATGCCTTTCTAGACTAATGAAAATATTAAACAATGGACGATTGATATTAAATACATAAATGCATGTATGTAAAATTGTTTAGTCATTGATCCATCGCAAATACTGATTTAAGTAAAATAAATCGGACATGGATGACACGAGTCATGTGCGGTTGCACATTCGACACATGTGTATGGTCGATCCGGATGCCATGTTGGAATGATGGGAAGTAACGAGGTATATAATAATGTAGATAATTTATTTGTATTTGCAAAGAATGTTAGAATAACCCATACATTCTTGATTTTTAGAGTTGTTCATAAACGCACTCAAAAATCGACCAAAAATTATACCCATAAAAAGATATTCATACTTGTATACGTGCTCAAGTGTTTGAATGACTAACCCATAACACCATAGACACACAAAAATCATGTGTTTGAAGAATCAATTTATTTTTGAGAGCCTAAAACCAGACCTAAAATTCGGTTTCTCCCAAAATCGCACCAAGCTCAAAGAACAAACCTTAATTTATATGATGATTTTCTTGAGAGAAGAAAGAAAGAAACCTAAAAATCGTTTTGTGTGTTGAACACATCGGACGAAGAGAGAAGAAAAAAACCTAGAAATCGTTGCTGTCTTTATGCTCTTAAGAGAAGAAAGAAACCCACATTGCAGAGAAGAGAGAAAAGAGAAGAAAGAAAGAGAGAAGAGAGAAAAAAATGTCATTCAAGAACATTGATCGCCAGAAAAATCATGTTTAACCGGGGAAGATAATTGGAGTCTCGTTGGAGCTACCAAGGATGCCGAAGACCGGCTAAACTTATAATAGTCGGTTATAATGTTAATTTGTGAACATAGCAAATGAGTTTTATATATATATATATATATATATATATATATATATATATATATATATATATATATATATATATATATATATATATATACTAGCCGTTACCCGCGCACAGCAGCGGGGACAAATAGCTTCTTTCAACGATATTTTTTTTAAAGAAAAATGTTATGTTCCAAAAGAAAGTTCATGTCGTGGGTGAGAGGAAGGGCGGTAGTCATGATAGTTGTTAGTTGAAGGCAGAAGGAGGCAGAGCGGCTGTGGTGGTGGTGGTTATACTGTCCTGGTTACTGGTTAGGGTTCTTCCAGAGAGTGTGCGTATATTTCTTACTTTGAAGGGATTACGAAGATAGATATTATGAGATGGCTTGTTATCAATGTGAGAGAAGAGATCCTCTATAAATTGTTGACATTGACCGATTTAAATGGCTTAAGTGTTGAGATTGACGGGTTCAATTTACAAATGAATTCTTATATTAATTTGATACCAGATTTTTAGGGGATAAAAGATAGGGTTAAAGTTTTAATATTATTATATCATAAATGGGTTGTAATTCAAACTTAATAGTTTGGACGTCTTAAAAAAATAATATTATTATATTCAATCTATTTATAGAAATAGTTAAATTTCTTTTATAAGTAGTAAAGATATATATATATATATATATATGTAAATAAGGAAGTTTTTTTTTTTTTTTTTTTTTTTTTTTTTTTTAATGATATATAAGTCATTAACACTTACCTTTTTACCAATGTCATTTTTTTATATGTTTAACTAAAATTTGTTAAATAGTTTATCAAATTATCACGTTTCGGTATCACATAAATTCATCCAAACCCTTTTATTTTTACTTTGTTTTTATAGCACATAAACTTATTTATATACATATATATATATATATATATATATATATATATATATATATATATATATATATATATATATATATATATATATATATATATATATATATATATTCTTCTAAAAAAATTAAGTTGGTTGAAAATAAGTAATCCCAAACAACCCTGCAATGTTTGTCTTGTTTCAATCTATTTTCCAATTTACATTTTATCCATGTTAAATCCAATAATTATATATGTTTAAAATATTTTTGAAATGTTTATCTTTTTTGACATTCGTTGAAGCAAAACAAAATCTATTATCATGGTAAACAAAATTTAGTCAAAATAAAGTATAATACCTTTTTTTATGCAAGTTGATCTTTTGGGACCACCATAGCTAAATTTGGTAGATGACTGATTTGTTTGTGCCTTTCCGAATTCTGATGACCACTTTGTTTTTTTTTGATAGATTCAAAGTAAAAATATATGTCAAAAGATTTTAATCAGTTCTAGCAAAAGTATTCAAATGTGTTCAATTTAAGAAGTATTAAGGGTTTGTATGTGTCTTTTGAAACTGATTAATACAATGTTCAAAAATCAGAACTACTTCGGGTTTATGTGTTCAATTTCTAATTATTACAACACTCAATTAAAATGAATGATGACCTGCATAATTATACATATACCCTTAGAAAGGGAAAATTACTAATCTAACAAAATTCATTAACTTATCATTTTTTTAGCCAAGAATTAGGATTTGTCCCAAACTAGCCCTTAAAACCGTAGGTGGTTCAACCGGTCTACTGTTTCGTCCATTTACCTACTGTTTTGATTTTTGTATATAAAGATTTTTTTCATTTTTCACTACGAAACCGTAGACGAAAAAATGATCTACTTTTTCCTCTGAGAAATCTACTGTTTCTAAAATAATAGATTAAAAATAATCTACTGTTTCATCTAACAAACTACGGTTTTGAGTTTTTTTTTTTAAATAAAAAAAAACACCAACTTTTTTACTACTATATCGTACCTACTATATATTAAAAGAAAAATCTCTTTTACAGTAAAAGTTAGTGTTTTTTTTTCCATTAAAAAAAACCATACGTTTTGAACGAAACAGTAAATCATTTTTAATCTAGTATTTGGGAAACAGTAGACCGTTTTTCATCTACTGTTTCGTAGTGAAAAATGAAAAAAAAATCTTTATATACTAAAATCAAAACAGTAGATAAATAAGCGAAACAGTAGACCATTTTAACCACTTACGTTTTTGTGGGTTAATTTGGAACAAATCCTAATTTGTGGCTAAAAATTGTTAATCACTTCTTTAATTTGGTTTTAGTAAGCGTCCCTCTTAGAAATCATTTTTTTTTTTTCATAAACTTCGGGTTTACGTGGTCAATTTCTAATTATTATGGCCCTAAAAAATACAAAAAATCAAAATAATCCTTTTCAAACATCGAAAAGTCGAGGCCTTTATGTAATATATATATAAATAAGTGGGGCGTTTTGAATATTTTTCGGCAACTTGCTATTTCTTTTTGGCTTGGTTTTTCATAATAAATACAAAACCGTGGTGTATATATCTTCTAGCCACACCATATCCGTAAATTTCAAAAGTTATTTTTGTTATATTGTAGAGCAATTATTTAGATTTATATCAGAGAATTATTTTTATACACAGAAGCATTATTTGACAAATGGCTTATCTCTTTGTATAGAAAAGAAACGTTGGCCATAAGGGGTACCTCCCTTTTTAATATACTGGATCTGCCCTTGTCAATATGTCATATAACTCCACCAGAAAAATGTCGAGGAAATCAAATGAAGAAACTTCATCAAGCCCCTACCAAAATAGGACCACTCTAACTTCTTGAATAAGGGAAGGACTCTATTTTGTATCTCGAGTTTTGTACCAAATAATGAAGTTTGAAAGATAATATACCAATATATTAAAGTTTGAACTTTGAAACTCAATTACAAGAGATAGTAAATGTATTGTAGTTCTTACAATTCTTTATACTAAAAACCATAATAAGACACAATCTAAATGTACAATTCTACTTGAAGAATACCAACAGTTATAAACTATGGATGCTTTGAACAAAAACAACCAACACAAGAAGATTTGAATGGAAACCTGAAACAAACAAATAAATAAAACACACACAAACGCACTAGTATTAATATTGTAAAATCAGCATTGTGAAGGGTGCAAAAGGTTGAAATTGCTTAAGGGGGGAGGAGCGAAAGATGATGAATAAACTAAAGAAAAATATGACATTTTAATGGATTTATAAATAGTTTTATAAGAAATCCTAATGATATTTTAAAACCTTTAATAGATTTTCTTTTTGGATCGGCTTAAAGCTTTAATAATTATAAACAAGGTTCTAAATAACGTAATGCGTGATTTGGTGGTAGGGACGGCTCAACCAATTTAGAGGCTTTAAGCAAACAAAAAAATTGGAGCACTTAAAGTAATTAAACACTTTCAAACTTGAGACCTTTAGTTTTATAAACCAGTTCTTTTACCACCAAACCACACTTC